TTGTCATGAACTGGGGAGTTCTTCTCTGCAGCTTTGAGCTGTCGAGATTCGAACGCGACACCCGATCTCGCCCCTCGGCGTCTGCAGTGCACAGTCGACGGCAAAGTCCGAAGCGTCACAGACGACGCTGAAAGCACGATCAGGGTCTGGCAGCACCAGTATTGGTGCATGCAGGAGGCTGTCTTTGACCCAGTCAAAAGCCTCCTGATGTTCGGTGTTCCAACACCATTCCGCATCTCTTTTAAGGGGATGGATAATGCCCGGGCCATTTCTGCGTAAATTACGCTGTACTTGTTCAAAACGTTGGCGAGACCAAGCCACTTACGCAAATCCTTCTGGTTCTTTGGAACAGACCATTCTACAATGGCCTCGACCTTAGCGGGATCCGCTCGAAGGCCACGCTTCCCAATGAAGCACCCTAAAAAGGGAATCTCTTCTGCGCCAAAGATGCACTTGTCTGCATTGGAGTACAGTTTGTTAGTGCGCGTGCACTCGAGCACCGCTTTTCGATGGACGATGTGGTTTTCTTCATCCGTCCACCCGTGCTCCGCAAGACTGTGTACTACTATGTCGTCAAAGTATGTCTGTGCATACGCCCTGTGGGGCCTGAACAACTGCGTCACCAGACGATAAAATGTTGCTGGTGCATTTGACAGACCTTGAGGCATCACCATACACTTCCAGAGCATGCCGCTCGGAGTGCTCACCACTGTCAGCGGAATAACACTCGCTCTCATGAGCAGTTGGTAATACCCATCGACCAAGTCGAGTGCACTGTACTTCGTACATCCCACCATGTTGCTCTGAAGAACATCCTTTCCAGGAATCGACGTCTATGCCGGAATAATGGCAGCGTGGAGCTTATTGTAAGCATGAACGATACGCCACTTGCCGTTCGGCTTCCGAGCACAAAATGTGGGTGTCGAAATGAGAGACTTTTTCTCATGTACCATCTCTGCGTCGTGCTTTGCACGGAAAAGGCGTCAATGACGTCGCACTGCTCCTTGGACAGGGGCCTTTGGCGTGTCACGATTGGTTACCGGGACCGGGTCGATCTCACGACGCACACCTCGGTCCGAAAAATAAGACCGAAGGCGGGTCTTTGGAGACGACGTCTTGAAATTCCTTTACCAAAGAATAGTACGGATCCAAGGGATTCCGTAGGATCGACGATACACTTCGTGCGTCCAGCACT